AAAAACGATTGGCTTTCAAGTTTTTCCCCAACGTCATCCCCTCCCAATCAGTCAATCAACCGATCAAGTAATGAATCTCTCTCTCTCTCTCTCTCTCTCGCGCGCGCGCGCGCGTGGGGGGGTGAGCGCCGGGACGAAATGTGCTGTTTCTCTAGGTCGGGCGGAAAGAATGGAGGAAGGAGGCACGGAGAAAGAGGACGGGAGGCATGCGAGACAACCGAGGGATAGGAGGGAGGGACGGCGCGAAGAGGTAGGAAGGAGGGAGGAAGCAGCGATGGAGGAAGGGTAGAAGGCCGAGGTCCGAGGGAGGAAATACCGGGTTTGAGAGAAGCACCGAAGCATGAATTGTGGGGAGGGAGGAGGAGGTGAGGCTGCCTCTGGTGACTCTCTCTCTCCTCTCTCTCTCTCTCTCTCTCTCTCTCTCTCTCTCTCTCTCTCTCTCTCTCTCTCTCTCTCTCTCTCTCTCTCTCTCTCTCTTCTTGTTCCCCCTTTCTCCCACCGTTCCCAGTTTCTCTGATTTCCCGTCCTACCTCACGGTCATCCCTTTCTTAGATCGAATTCGCCAAAAGAATCTCTCTCTCTCTCTGTGTGTGTGTGTGTGTGTGTCTCTCTCATGCGCGCGCGCGGGGGGATAAAAAAACAACATGCGGGACTCCGTCCATTCGAAAACAAAGACCGAGGGAGGATGAAGGGCCATGGGAGGAGGGCGGGAGGGAGGGAGGGAGGGTCGAGGAGGACAGGGAGGGAGAAGTGATGGCCGAGGGAAGGAAGGAGGGAAGGAGAAATGAGGGCCAAGGGAACGAAGCAGGAACGGAGAATTGAGGGCCTCAGGAAGGAGGTGGGAGAAGAGAGGGCCGAGGGAGGAGGAATGCCCGAGAAAGGAGCGAGAGCGGAGAAAGGGCTGAGGGCCGAGGGAGGGAGGGAGGGAGGGAGCGAGGGAGGAGGTCAGGCGGAGGTCGAGTGTAGAAAGGAAGCGGAGGAAAGAGACAGAGCGGACGGACGGCGGAGAGAAGACAGAGGTGAGGCGTCGGGCGGACGGAAGAAGGTGAGACGTCAAGTGAGGGAGGTAAGAGAACGGAGACTCACTTGAGTCCACCATGCCACCGAAGCCTCCAGCCGACCACGATCAACCAACAACGCGCAAGCCTTCGGTCACGATGTAGCCTACCGGTAGCCGTCCAAGTTCCGCAAAAGTGGACAATGGCTCAACCACACATTGCAGTAAGCCACGTGGAAGTTCACGTAGCACGCAGCACAATCCACGTGGCACCAAGCTCACGAACCGCGTAGCGCCAAGCGCAAGAATCACCAAGCTCGCGAAGCACGTAGTACCAAGCTCACATAGCACCACATAGCACCAAGGCCTGAAGCACCTAGCACCGAGAGAGAGACTAGGAGGGTAGGACGGGGGAGAGAGAGAGAGCGTACCACCAAACCCCGAAGCAACGTAGCACCGAGAGAGAGAGAGAGAGAGAGAGAGAGAGAGAGAGAGAGAGAGAGAGAGCAGCAGCAGTAGCAAAGCCCGAAGGTGGTAACACAGAGAGAGAGAGAGAGAGAGAGAGAGAGAGAGAGAGAGAGAGAGAGAGAGAGAGAGAGAGAGAGAGAGAGGGGGGGGGGAGGTAGCGTCAGATAGGTCGGGTAGGGAAGTCGGGTGGGCACGTCCGCCAGTGTAGGTAGGTCGCGTAGGGAACGGACGTCTGGTGGCGCAGATCGATAGCGTAGGGGGGGTTGCGTTGGGCAGGTAGTGCAATGCACGCAGGTCGCATAAGGTACGTGGCGTGGAGCAGGTGCGTCTGGTACTGAAGGTAGCTCGCGTTGGCGAGCAGGTAGGTCGGGTAGGTCTGGGCCCTTCTTGAGAAGGGGCAGCCTGCATTGAAGGCCGATCCGATCAGAAAGAAATTATGATCGGAGCACTCAGGGTAACGGCCCGCTATCCAGGCTTTTTTTTTTTTTTCCTTTTTTTCTTTTTTTTTTTTCGTTGCCTTTTCTGGAAAAATGCTTCGTGACCATGGTCCCACTACTACGTTTTTTGTTTGTTTTTTTTTTCCTTATGGTCCCACTACTGCCGTCTTCCCCCGAACACAACGCACCCTCATTTTGGCTGTATCTGGCCGGAAATATAGCTTATGTTCGGGGGAAGACGGTAGTATCAACGGGATAGGATAGAAAAGAGTTTGTGCGGCAGTTGAGTGAACCGAATCCTGCCGTGTAGTACTCGTGATCCCACGGTCAGTACTTTACATGTATTACCCGAAAAAGTACGGAGATCTTTGTTCCCCTCCTCCTCTCCTTAACACTGGGCATGCCGATGCCAAGGAAGCTTCCGGCCAAAATCTTTTCAATCCGTTGGGTTTATGGCCAACCCCAAAAGAGGGTGGGATTGGCCATAGGCCCACTGCATAGAAGATGTTCAGTATTTTGCTTGCTGTTTTGCATTTATCTCATTGGGTGGAGCCCTCCTTCAATCACGGAGTATATATATGGAGGGCCTCATGATCTTTCTTTTTTTCTTTTTTTTTTTTCCATTTCTCCTCATGGGGGACAGCCACATATTTTTTTCTCACCTCACATATCTTTCTTTTCAGAACCTACCTACCACTACTCCTAAGGCTACACAGGGGACCCCCGCAAGCATAGCTTTCTACCTCTCTTTGGTGAAGGGAGGTTATCTCTCCCGGTGGAGAGGGATAAGGGCATGTTTGCCCTTTTGCCCTAGCTGGCGTTCTGCCATGTCATGGAACATATCTTTCTTTTCAGAACCTACCTACCACTACTCCTAAGGCTATACAGGGGAACACTGCAAGCATAGCTTTCTACCTTCTCTTCGGTGAAGGGAGGTTACTTCTCTTGGTGGAGAGGGGTAATGGCATGTTTGCCGCTTCGCCCTAGCGTTTAGGGTGCAGGGTTGGGGCCGCCGGTAGGGGCCCGGCTAACACTAGGAACGACCATTTGCCAGTAATTATGCCTCCCTTTTCGTCTTCCCCCACCCCCATCAGGTAACAGTAGTGTCAAAAGCCAACACTCTCCCACACACCTCGCACAACCCACTCACACACACACTCACACCAATGCTGGTTGAAGACCTTACTAATACTGACTGGGAGGATCCAGCTGACTATCTCAGCTGGTTGGCACCAAGAGTGCTAGCCAACTGAGATAGTATCCAGCGGCCTACCTCAATTGGTTAGGCACGCAAAGGCGTCATGATCACCTGTGTGTTCGAACAACGGGCAACGGGGGCCGTTAAATTCCGTTGAACCCCGTTGAATCGCCCCAGGGACCCCGTTGAATCCCGTTTAACAGAAAAACGGCGGTCTCCCGTTGAATCCGAGAAAACGGGATAGGCACGTTGGGCCTCGGACACGTGGCCCTATGCGCCCAAACTCTGAAAAAAAAAATAAAAAAATGACACCTATTAACAGGGTGGGGTGGCAAAAAATGCCCCTCCCTTCCGAACATCAAACTGCAAGAGGGGAAAAAGTTGGGGCCACCCCATCCCCCAACACTGTGAGCACATGTATGTGCATGTGAGTGCACGTCCTTTTTTTTTTTTACAAATGCTCCAATCTATTTGTCCAGTCTCATTTCGGAAGGGCCCCTACACATTAGCAAGGACCCCTTGTGGAACAAAGATGGACATTAGACTTCTAGACTGTCTGTGTGGGTCGAGAATATATAGTCTGGATTCGAATTCAGGTCTGTGGCACTTCGTGCATCACAGTTATGGGTCACTAATTCTCTGTTTTCTCGTTTTTCTTTTGTTTCTCGTTTTTCTTTTGTTTTCTCTTTTTTTTTTTTTTTCTCATTTTTCTGTGTGGGTCGAGAATATATAGTCTGGATTCGAATTCAGGTCTGTGGCACTTTGTGCATCACAGTTATGGGTCACTAATTCTCTGTTTTCTCGTTTTTCTTTTGTTTCTCGTTTTTCTTTTGTTTTTTTTTTTGTTTTTTTTTTCTCATTTTTCTTTTGTTTTTTCTCGTTTTTCTTTTCTTAGGAATACATGCAGTGGCCCTAAGGGCCTCTACTCACCACAAGTTCGCAGCCAGAGGCTGCGCTTACCGCGATTGTTCTTTTGTCGTTTTGTGGGGATTCTTTTTTGGGAAATGTCGTGGACGTCCAATGAGGTTTGTCGGGGTCTGGGGAAAAGTGCAAAGGGTGCGGTCGCGGCTAGGAGACGGATCGGTAGTGCGAGTGGTCGTGGTAGGCTTTGGGTATTGTACGTTTGGTGGTGGTTTCATTCGGTCGTTCGGGTTTGTTGTGGATGACGACCCAGTTTCCTTTTTGGGTGATGAGAAATGGTTTGGGGACGGGTGGAAAATGGGAAGCGGGGGTCATGAAAGTCGTGACGACTTTGTTGGGTTGGGTGCAAAATGGAGAGCGGGGGGTCATAAAAAAAAATTGAAAATCGATCGACGGGCGGGCATCAAAATTTTTCTTCGTTTTTTCCTCTTTTTAAAAAATATATATATATATATATTTTTTTTTCCGAAAAGGGCGACGGTCTTGAGATATCATTCATCATCGTTCATCATCTGGGTTCAAACACGGGTCTGGTAGCACGAAAGGGTACACTACTTGATGCTAATTAGACTGTTTTTTTCATATTAGTTCATGTGGACCTCCGCTTTTTTTTTTTTTTTTTTTTTTTTTTTTTTTTTTTTTTAAGTCCAAGGTGTTGTAGAGGCCAGTTACTAGACACACATTTGATTGTCAGGTGTGGTCAGCTGTGGACGATCTGAGGCAGCGGGGCCACCACCCCTTCCATCCTTGCGTCAATACTCCTAGCGCATACCCTATCCCTACTATCCTACCTAAGTGTGACCAGCACTCAGGACCATTACCCTACCAATGGGCAGGTAACTTGGACCGAACAGTAGTGACTGGCACCAGGGCAAGCAACCTAGCCCTGGTTGAAGCATAGTCGAACGGACCTCGTCGTACGGGTACTTCGGACGCCAGGCTCATGCAACTCACATATTGGCCCCTAAATTGACCAACTAGTAACTCACGCCCTCTACTCTTTCCCACCACACTATATGTTTTAAGGCCGGGTACTTATCATCGAGACGCCTACTTACGCCCTCTACTCTCTCCCACCACACAGTATATTTAAGGCGGGGTACTTATCATCGAGACGCCTTATCATCATTATCATCTGATCACGAGCTCCCCCTCAACCCTTGTGTATATATGTGTGTGTATGTGTGTGTGTGTGTATGGTTGTGCTTGTGTGTGTATGTACTGTGTATAGATGTGTGTTAGTGGGCCATATATATGGCTGTATGCGGCTCCCCACCATGTAGCATATGCGAAGTAAGTATTGAGTACTGGTGAGAGGTGCTCTTACCACCTCCACTAGCACGTGTATGTGTGATTGTGTACCTTGAGTATTGTATATATATGTGTGTATGGACTCGAACATGTGACCTTCAGTATGAAACTGGAGGGTTCCACCACTTAAACTACCGTGGGAAGTGGAAATAATGTGTGTAATGTATGAACTGGGGGAGATTATCAGAGCGACCAAAACCAACAACAACCAGCAACCAACGTGAAGACTAGGCCAGCATACAACATCCATGAATTGACCCCCTGGGTGGTGCACAGGCAGTGTCTGTAATAGTACCATGCGTCAGCCCAGGGGAGTGTGTGTCCAGTCGTGCGTCATTCTAACGCCCTGCCGGTGTCCATGCGCGAGGCTGCGGAGTCTTGAACCCACAACCTCATACCACAATGCGCATTTCCAACCGGTGCTCTAACCACTGAGCTACATCAACTGGACAAGTGGACCTTCGCTGCTGTAAGGGCAAGGAGGAGACAGATTCTTAGAAGTTGAGTCGTTTTTAGACTTGGGGCGTCGTATAGATCCTATGAATTATACCATAGTATAGGGCTCGACTATAGGCAGACTTCTCTTTTGCATAGAATAGTGGTCCAGTCGTATGAATTGCTCCAACTTAGTGTCCTTTCTCGTACGGGTACTTCAGTATGAATTGCTCCAACTTAGTGTCCTTTCTCCTTATGCGTATCATTTGCATTCTCCCTACTTCCCTCCTCTCCCCCCTCACCCAAGTTTATATCTTACTATTAGGCAGTACAGAGTTGTAAGACAGACCTCGCTCACCCTCGGTCCGAAGTATAATGTGCAAAGATGTGCTATTGTGTATGAAAGATCAGTGTCCCAGTGAGAATTTTCATTGTTTGGTACACCTAAGCTTAACCGGTTGATGCTGCTGGGATAAATCCGGGTTGAATTGTAAGGTCCCTGACCTCGTTATTTT